GACACGGGCTAAATGTTTCATGAACATATCTCTTTGATAAATGTGCTGAGAATCAAATAACAGCAATTCCATCAACTTGCAAAAAATACCATTAAAACCTTTTTTGAATAAAACAAGTGAGCAATTTTCTCTGAAGCAATCAGTACTGCCCAACCAATTAATGAATCCACAGGGGGCCACTTTGCATTGCAGTTAGTGGATAGTTTATGGCTTACTCTCTAATGGATGAACATAGGAAACATATCTGGGAACTGACATGTCACGTCTTAAACATGAGGAAATCGATACAGGCAATGGAAGGTGTGGTTTTATTGACGACATTTCCTGATTTTCCGACACGTCGTTCACAGCAAGCAAGAAGATAAATTAGCAAACAGGTTCACAATACAAATTGATTCTATAATATTACCATTATAATAATGGTAATACCGCTATAATGTAATGAAATACCATTAATAATATTAACATTGTTTCCATTTTTCAATGTATTGAGATTATTTTATATTGTGCACATGGTTATTATTGTTATGCATTTGTTTGTTTGTTGTGTGGAGTGACACAACTGTAGGTGTGGAGTTTGCACTGTTATCCTGCACCTTTCTCACCTCTACACATCTATTTTATTACAATCGGATTCTGTTTTCTATTTTTTTATTTCTAAGTGTTTACCTGCGTTTGGTTTTCTGATGATAATCAGGTAAAATACATCTAACATGTTGATAAGGTGGTGAAAGCTGACCTGGGCAATCCAGATTTTTTGTGAAATACATTTCCCATGGTGCACAGACAGATTTGAATTATGCCATTTTCAAACATATAGTGTTGAGTCTAAGTGTCACCCATTGAAGGCATAATGACGAAACAGTTCATTTGCAAATTTGCCTAGTTATAAAATGATTACATGGACATTTTGCTGCTTATGATTTATAACAGCGGTAATTTGTGTGTGTTGATCAGGAGGCGGAAAAAATATAGCAAAAATCTTTCCAGCTTTTCAAGTGATGGTCCCACTCCTGACTCAAACTTACACGAAACATAGACCAAGTAATTTGACAAATCAAAACGTCCATATACAGACACCAAATGCCTGACTTGACTCTGGCGCCTACATACACACACCAGATGAGACGCAGTGAACCGACAGTACCGTGCAGCGAGACCTGTGCAAGCACCACTAGTGATGCATTTCTAGCTACCGCACCATGGTTTAAGGCAACCCATACCCCTCACGACCAGTCACTGTTACCCAGAGCTCGTTTCTGCGTACAAATAATTTTAAGTGCAACAACAGTGACGCCTGGGCTGGAGGGACCCATGGGAAACTATACGCACTTCCAAACCCATTCTATCCAACTTTTGTTAATAATGTCCTAAGAATGCCTGGACACTAAGTAACATGATTACAAAATAGGAAGGACAAGCAAAATCCACCAGACTCCCTTACACAACTACTAATTTATGCTGTTGATTGCTATGCAAAGGTCCTGCGAGACCAAATGTTTTTTATTGCATTAGAGACCTCCGAGTTTTGAGTTACTTTGATGGTCTTTCATTACTGTTGTATTTATAACAAAATAAAACCTTGATATACAAAAAACTAAAAATCTTCCCAGCTTTTCCACATTTTTTTTAAAATTAATCTGGTCTGTCATATATTGATACATTTTTAAATGGTCCATCCCTTTAACCTCTCTGATCTAAATATTTATGTAATTCTAGGTATAATTTTTTTATAATATCAATATTGAGGGAGATTGAAATATACGTGGCAGAGGGTAAAACTGCAAAATTAAACAGCGAATAGAAGATTTACTTTAAAACGACAAACTAAAAAAGTGGCATTTGTTTAAAGAAAAAGCAATTTTTCATTTATTTATAAAATATTTTACCAGGATGGAAACATTGATATTTCTCTCGTTTCCAGGTATTTCCTGGGACATATATTAACTATATATTAACAATATGCAAATATTAGGGCAATACACATGACTCATGGATGACTTGTTCATTAATAGTATAGTGCAAAGCAAAATAGATCATCCACAGAGACTTGAAGAGAGGAGATTTTACATACAGGAGCAGAAATAGTTCTCTAGATTAAGAACAATAAAGATGTCAATTTTTTTAACTTAATCAGTTGTTTTATTCAATGTAGCAAATGCCTTTATAAAAAAAGCTGTAGATGTTTTAATGCAGTCCCATAAATTAGCAAAAGTGATAATAATAGCTTTATGATGCAAAGATAAATGTAATTGCTACTTTTTTTTTTGTAAACATGTTTTTATTAAAGAGTTTTACAACGTATAATATAAGTATAGGATGAGGCTCTAGAGTTAACCGTGTTTGTGGATATTGTCCACTGGGTCCAAATTGCCAAGTTTGCGTACGCCCCTCTGCACTAAATACCAGCTCCTCGCGGAGTTCTTCCATTCGCTGGAACCATAAGTTTAGAGGTTGTAGGACTGTTTGTTTCCAGAAAGAGGGATAAGGCCTTTAGCTACATGTAATATGCGTGTAGTCATGGATTTTGTGTATAACAACTTACGTGCAGTTGTGTGGTATAGTAGAATGCGTGCGATGAGGAGAGGCGGAGGTGTATCAGAGATAACTGCTTTTTTTTTTTCTCATTCCTTATTTTGACGTCAGTAGGGATGTAGAAAATATTGAACTTGATGGAACAAGTTATTTTTTAAACATAAATTCTGTTTCTATATTTTTTTTAGTTCACTGTTAATTCTTACCTGAGTACACAAACACGAAGTTGTAAGATAAAGAAGGATGACACTCACTGACGTCAATAAATATTGTGACTGAGCCTCACGGAGTGTTCAGTAAGATGACTTATAAGGTCATTAGTCCCTATATACTAATTTGTACAATATTTAATTTCGAGAAAATCTATTATGTTAAATCAATGGGCTATATTGACTGGGAACCTGTTTTTTATATTTAAAATTCGGGTATTTTCGATGAGTAATTTTTCTTTAATATGCCGTCATGGAGACATGGGTCTATTTTTTAGCACCTATGACCATTTAATTAACCCCTGACTGCATGTGCTCTGTGTACATTTTCCAACTGATTACTAGCAGAAAATTAGCTTTCAATTAAATCTAAATTCCATCCAATCTTACCAAAATTAATCTAGTTATCTAATTACAGGTTTGGAGGAAATCTCGGGGGTCGATACAGAACATAACGATTTATTGGTTAATGACATATAAATCTTCATGAAACAATGTATGCCACAGAGTATATGCTGTATACAGTGTTCGCATTCTGCATGTACTATATAGACATTATGTAGGGTAATAATACTAGTAGGTTTATTTACTTACAGTAAGAATTATCGAGAATTCAAAGTGCAATCAAATTCAATTTCAATTTTAAGTCCAAAATAGCTAAACCGATCAAACTCTCCAGTAAGGTATGCTTTGAATTTGTCTATTTTGTTCTAAAATCCACTTTGGAATTCGTAACAATTCTTACTTTAGTGAAAATCCCAATATGGGACCAAACTGTGCAATTTGCTGAGTAAGTTCATGTTTAATCAGGAAGCAATTTTGTAGAAAATACAACATATCGTATTAATGGATTGCTTCTAATGAAATTTTTATAAAAAAATACCCTTTTTGGATTTTTTAAATAAAATTGCTTTATGGAATGTAGATACTGTGTAGACTCCAGAGCAATACATTTGAGAATTTACTTAAAGAGGTTCTACCTCCCCCCCCCAAATTGAATATATAGAACTGACTGTGTTGGAATCTTGACATTGGCCGGAGCTATCACTGATGCGCCAAGGGTAGAAGAGGACCAGTCAGAAGACGATGGCAAAGCCCGCAAGGCTAAGTTAAACTCACCTTTTCCTGCCCCCCTGGCCACCAGATCCCCAGCAGCGATCTCACCGTCGGGGGTCTTTGCAAATTTGGCAAAGTCCCAGTTGGTGACAGTTCCGCTTTAAATTTGTATTTTTTTTTTTGTATTACCACTAGGCAGAGAGACAGACATATTTTTAGCACTACATGTACCACTTTCACCTCTGTATATCTAAGCTATTAACATGTTTATAATTAACATGTTTGTGTGGCTGTTGATTAGGTAATACAGTCATATTGACTATCTGGCGTGTAGGGAATGTAACAATTGGATTTTGTTCTGTTTAACTAACCATCATTGTCTCAAGTCCATGTAAAGCGCTGTCTTAATTATGTAGGATTAGGCTAAACATTTTATTGGATTAAAATTCTAGAATGCGCATTTTGTAACAAACAACAATGATTCAAGATTTACAAACATTCAGACTCTTATAATTAGTTCTACATGCAGGTTACAAAGTTTCCCCTTTTTTCTGTGGCTGGGAATTGGCATACTAAGATTTTAAAGTTAATAGGGTACTATTTAATAAGGTATAAAAACAAATCAGATTCTCGTCCAGAATATCACCCCCTAATTCTAACCCCCTAATGGCCTAAGTTACCAAATAACTACGGCATGGGGTACAGAGTGCCATTACAGTACTGGGACAGCAGTGAACCCCTCACTCTAACAACCAGAATAATTATTAAAGGTGCTAGAGTTGAGAATTAGGGTGTGGGAAAAGTAACTGTTTTCAGTGTACCAGATAGGATATCCATAGTTTCTTTGCGTACCAGTCTGCCCACCGGGTTAATATTGTTATTGGGTTATATTACTTTCAGACACTGTATCAATATTCTGAGCTACGATGGGATTACTAACATGCATTTGTGTGTTGTGTAAATATAAGAATGTTGGGTATGTTTTTATGTCTAGGGATACAATAGAATAGAAATAGAGCTATATTGGCTCTATAAAGTGTGAGTGTTCCATTGAAATTTCTAATATTATCTGCATATATTATCTAACTGTATTGCACTATTATGTATTTTTGTTCTTTTTATTACGACATATTGTACAGATTTTTCTTCCATCAACTGTATGTAATTATATATTTTCTTCATTACCTTTTGTATAACTTCAGTGCCACCACCACTGTTTTTATCTGTTTGTTTTTTACAAGGTTGTGGGGATTCCTTGTAGGTGCATTGCTGATCATTTACAGATAGAGAGCTTCACACACATTAACAAGAAACAAACTGAAACCAATGGGGCTTAGTGGGAAAGTAAATCAAGAAATTAAAAGTAATAAAAAGGCATTTAAAACATTTAAATCGGACAAATCAGAGCCACCCTATAAAAGATATAAGGAATCCAATAATGCATGTAAAAAGGGTGATTAGATTAAACTGCAAAATGAGGAAGTGATTGCCAAAGAGAGCAAACCAACCGAAAGCGTTTTTTAGGTATATAAATTCTAAAAAACAAAAAAATTGTGGCTCTCTGTGCGTCATGTATAAGGCTGACTGTGTATAATGTGTGTATAGCTGTGAGTGGCTGTGTTTGGGTAGCTGTGAGTGGTATGTGTAGCAGTGTGAGTAGCTGTGAGTAAAGAGTTTGGGCCGATGTGAGTGTTGTGTGTGGCTGTGTGCTGTGAGGGGAATACATGTGGGAAGTAGTGGAAGATGGGAGGGGGGAAGTTTGGATGCAGTAGTGAGGGTATTATAGAGCGCTGTCAGGGTTAAGGGTGGTAGTGGGTGTTTGGGGCAGTAGTGGGTGTTAGGAGCTATAGTCCGGGATAGAGGCTGTGGTGGATGCATAGAAACTGTTGTTGGGTAAAAAGACAGTAGTAGGACGTTAGGGGCAGTAGTGGGGGGAGGGGGGTTAGAAGCTGAAGTGGGGGTTAAGACTTGTAGTAGGGGGTTTGGGCAGTAATGGTGGGTTAGGACCTGCAGTGGAAGGTTAGGGTCAGTAGTAGGGGGTAAGAGGCTGAAGTAGTAGGACGTAGTGGGGGGATGGGGCAATAGTGGGGGGTTAGGGCCATAGTGGGAGGTTTGGAGCAGTACTAGGGGGGTATAGGCAGTACTGGGGGGATAGGGGCTGTAGTTCAGTGTTAGGGGCAGTAGTGGGGGAGATAGAGGCAGTAATGGGGGATATAGGGGCAGTGGTGGGGGTAGGGGCAGTAGTGGGGGGTTTGTAGCAGTAATGGGGGGTTATGAGCAATCGTGGGGGATATGGGTAGTAATGGGGGTTAGAGAATGTAGTGGTTTAATACTTTAGATATTTTTTTAATTAAACAAAAGAAACTAAAGTTTTCTTCCCCCATCCCTTTACCTTACGTTGTTCCCTGGTCGTCCGGTGGGAAATGCAGCTCCTTCTGGCCAGCGCCAGGAACTGTATTAGAGAGTTGCTGCGGTATCCCATGGCAACGCTCTAATATAGTAGGCGGAGCGAGAACTTGGCCAGGAAGTACAGACCAAGTCCTCCCTCCTCCCACTCTGCATCAGTGGTGGTCTGTGACCGCGGCTTCGGAAGGGGGAGGCTCACTGAGAAAATGCAGGGCTTTTTGATTTCCCTGTCGGGCAGCTTGTTCTGCAGCCGGCGCTCCTGCAGTACCACTCATGTGTTAAGTGGCCTACGTGGCCTAATGGAAGCGCCGGCCCTGGATTGGACAATCAAATGGCAGATGAAATTTAACATAGAAAAATGCAAAGTAATGCACTTTGGGGTAAAGAATGCACAAGCAACTTATATCCTACATGGCAAGGAAGTAGGGATAACACATGAGAAGGATTTGGGAATTGTTATGGACAACAAATTAGGAAACAATGTGCAATGTCAATCAGCAACAGTAAGGTACTGTCATGTGTACACAGGGGCATTAATTCTCGGGATGAGAATATAATTTTGCCTCTTTATAAATTACTGGTAAGACTACATCTTGAATATGCTGTGCAATTTTTGGCACCTGATCTAAAGAAGGATATCATGGCATTAGAAAAGTGCAGAGGCGGGCTACAAAATTAATAAAAAGAATGGAACATTTTAGCTATGAAGAAAGGTGAACAAATGTAAACCTCTTTAGTTAAGAAAAATGACACCTCAGAGGGGATATGATAACATTATACAAATATATTCAGGGCCAATACAAACCATTGTCTGGAAATCTATTCACAAACAGGACTATACATAGGACACAAGGTCACACATTTAGACTGGAAAAAAAGAGATTTAGTCTAAGAAAACATTCTTAACAATAAGGATGTGGAATTCTCTGCCTGAAGAAGTGGTTTTATCAGAGTCTGTACAGATGTTTAAACAGCAATTGGATAAATACTTGCAAAAACATAATATTCAAGGATATAATTTTTAAATTAAGGGGTAATAGCTTTTAGTCCAAAGATAAATATGTCATTCTGGAGTCAAGAAGGAATTTTTTCCCAGTTTGTTGCTTCAAAATCAAACCTTCTTTTAAATCAACAGCAAGAAACAGATGTGAGAAAGGCTGGCCATGATGGATGCACGTCTCCTTTCAGACTATATAACTAGTTGCATGGTTTTATTTGTGTAGTCGCAATGTTTGTGCGCACACGAGTGCATTTGTGTGCAATATTAGAGTCTGTGTGCATGCGTGTGTGTCTGTATGTGGGTATAGGTATATTGTGTGTAGACAATTTATGTGAACGAAGGATTTTATTTGTGTGTGGTATGAGTATTTTTTTAAACTGAGATGTATTTGTGTGTAGGAGTTTGTCTATGCTCTAGTAATCTCCCGCATGGATTATTGTAACCCTCTCCTGATTGGTTTTCCCAAAAGCCGTATCACCCGCTACAGTCTGTAATGAATGCAGATGCCAGACTGATTTTCCTCTCCAGTCGGTCCTCTCACACCTCACCCCTCTGTCAGTCCTGTTCCTGTATGCTATAGGAGTCAATTCAAAGTGCTAACCCATACCTATAAAGCATTGACCAATTCTAGCCCCTCATATCTCTTCACAGATCCATAGGTATGCCCCTTCTCAGGCTCTCCGCTCTGCCCGTGACCTTCTCCTGTCCGCTGCTCGCACCCGTACGACCGACTCGCGCTTGCAGGATTTCTCACGGGCGGCTCCCTTCCTATAGAATAGCCTGCCTACCACCATCAGACTGTACCATAGTCTTCAATCGTTTAAGAAGTGCCTTAAAACCCATCTCTTTAGGAAAGCTTATGGCCTCCCAGACTAACCTCTACCTCACATCCTGTCTCTTGCTCTCTCCTAAAGGGCAGCACTCTACTCTCCTCCAGCTCTGCTTCACTCCAACCTTATTTGATTGCTATTTCCTGTCTTATTGTGCTTTACACCCCACCTCCCATAGACTGTAAGCTCGTTTGAGCAGGGGCCTCTTCAACCTATTGTTCCTGTAAGTTTTCTTGTAATTGTCCTATTTATAGTTAAATCTTATAATATTGTAAAGCGCTACGGCATCTGTTGGCGCTGTATAAATGGCAATAATAATAATAATAATAATAAAAATAATAATACATGTTAGGGGATGTATGTATTTCAGGCAACATTTAGGATTCACCTTATAATATGTAATATAAATATATAATTTGGCTTTTTCTTAGTAGTTTTAGTATTATACATACACTGCATATTGTTTGATACTGCTGTGCTGCCATTTTGTGAGCTTTAAAGAGGAGCTGTTACTTCCCTAGATAATCAATATTATGCTTACTTATTGCTATATTTAAAAATAAATATATTTGTGAGATAGTAAAGTACAATTACATGTAGAAATCCACACATCTTTATCCTGTAACTGGGCGCCTCCATCTTAGCTCCCTGTCAGTCATTGTTATAAATGCAATGTGTGCCCTGCCTGTGCCTTGTCTGAACTGGATTGTGGTGTCAGTTGCTAAATCTTTAGTGGAAACTTCAAAGAAAAGAGGGCATCTTGTGAAAAAGTTTTATACAATAGTGTAAATTCCAGAAAAGTGACATTCCCCCTTTAAAATAATGGAATGGATTTTGTGTTGGCGTAATTCTTTTCAAATATTTTTATATTTAAAGTTTTATAAAATTTTTAACAAATTATACAAACAAAATTTAACAAATTATACAAACATTGTTAGGGGTAGGGGAGGAAAGGGAAACTTGGAAGTGGGAAGAGGTTAAGAAACACAATAATGTACATGACACAGATTGTACAATGATACAGTTCAACACTAAATCAATTTTTTACAAACGATAGACTTTTTAAAATTTCTTCTTCCCATCTATCCCAATCATGTTTTAGTTTTGCGAAAGAATGTGTATTGCTCCTATGTGACAATTCGTGTGCTTTGTTAAATGTTACATTTGTCTAAATGATGGTGTTTTTTATTTTCTAATACCTTGGCAAGCATGAGGTAGCAGCAATCAGGATGTGGCCTATTATTATTCTATCAGTTCTACTAACGGACTCAGGGAATTTTTTTAAATAATGCAAGCTGAGGTTAAAACACTGATATTTCTATCTACTTTAACAGTGAAATCGTGAATCATTTTCCAGTACCTTGCAATTTTAGGACACCACCACCAGATATGGGCCATATTTCCCAAACCCCCACAGTCCCTCCAACACCGGTCAGAATACCTGTTATTCATATTGTGCAATCTAGACGGAGCCAAGTACCAGCGATACAAAATTTTGTAGTGATTTTCGAAATGGTCAGGGCAAAAAGAAATCCTTTTTAATGCTTTAAGAAAAACTGAACCATTCCTCCAGCTCGTATTGTGTACCCAGCTCTGCCTCCCAGGATACCATATGTTTTAATTTAGCTATGGGTTTGGCATTGTATAGTGAATAGCACAAAGATATGGTGCCCTTTCTATTCGGATCATATAAAAATATTTTTCTAGTGGTGTTTTCTCTAGTGATTTTTACATTATATAATTGTTTCAGTTTTTCTATGATCAACATGCAATCTTCTTTACACTCATTCGTTAGTCCATGTTTAGGTTTTAATTTTTTTCAAATGGGAGAATGGCATTACCATGAAAAAAACTGTCTACGTTTGTTATAGGGTATTCTTTCAATAAGTCTAGATTCAATAACAATTCAGTTGGCATTGCTATATACACTCTCACAGTGGGGCTGTTATTTTTAAAAACGATGTGCCAGGCCTTGAGAGTGATTTTTGTTGATAAAAATAGTTTAGCGACTCTTGGTCTTTTTATGACACAACCAAGGTAATTCCGTACGATTAAAGGGGAGAATTTTTGACTCTTCTATTTCCATCCATCTTGGCTTGTTAGATTGACTATTAAAACCACTGAAGCATTAGTCGCAAATTAGTATATGCGGATATCCGGATCGCCGAT